AGGAGGAGGAGGAGGAGGAAGAGGACAATTGAAAGGCGGGGAGGCGGGGGGAAAGCGGGTGGAACGAGGGGAGACGGGGACAGTGGAGCAGCGGATCGGTGGAGTGCGTAAGTGGTGACACAGTTTTGTTGTTTCTTAGTTTTTGTTTGTGTATGTGTGTGTGTGGGTGTGTGTTGCGCTCTGTTGCAGCATTTGGTATGTTTGTTAATGTTTCGGTGGTTTTGTTTTTTTGTGTTCCCCGGGCCGCATAAGGAATCGATCAGTAATTCGCCCACGAAGCCGTATCGACTGTTACCTCCCAGAGAAGGAAACCTATAGTGTATCCTCTATAGAAGGAGTGCACTTTTGAGCCCTCCGCAAATGGAGCTGGAAGAGGAGGAGGGCAATTCTGCGGAAGCTGAGACTGAGCAGGCGGAGGATGACGTTGGCGAGGGTGAGGAGGCAGACCACGAGGAGAAGAAAGGCCACGAGGAGGCGAGGAGACGAAGAGGATTCGCGAAACACGCGTCTGGCGTAGATCTGGGGGGGGCTCCATCTCTTCTCCTCTCTCTCTATATTTGTCTCTTTTCTGTCTTGTTTCCTCTCTCTTTCTCCTTTCTCCTTCCTCTGAATACCAGCAAACGTTAGCCAGTGTGGAGCCGAAACAGTGATATCTTGCAACCTGTGCGGTGCAATCTAGGTTCAACAATCAATGTTGTGCAACCTTGCTGGTGCAACACATGTGGTGTAAGCAATGGGGTGCAACACATTGCAAATCAGTGCATGGTAATGCATGGCAGTGCACAGCAATTCAAAGCAATGCAACGCAATGCAACTTGATGCAGCGCAATACTCACATGCAACACGATGCAAAGCAATGTACAGCATTGTAAGGCGATGCAAAGCAATACACAGCAAAGTAATGAACGCAATGCAATGCGATGCACAGACATGCGCAACGATGCAAATAAATGCACATCACTGCTGAGACATATGAAGTAATGCAAAGCAGCGCAATGCAAAGCGACGCAACTACATCCAATGTGATGCAACGCAGCAGCGCGGCGCAGCACACTGCACAGCAATGCAAGTTGATGTAAAGCAATACCAGTGCTAACCAATGTAATGCAATACAATGCGATGCGAAGCAGTTCGACACAATGTACATCACCGCAACGCGACTCACCGCAATGTAAAGCCATATAACGCGATGCGACGCAATGCAAAGCAATGTTAAGCACCGCAACGCACAACGATGCAAAGCAGTGCAACGCAATGCAGCGCAATGTGGTGCAACGCAAAGCGACGCGAAGCATTTAAAAGTGGTGCAATGCAAAGCAGTGCAAGGCATTGCGATAAACCGCGACCAAGAGCAACGCAACACAACACAATGCAAACCAATGCAACGCAGTGCAAGCCAATGCAAAAAGCAGTGCAGCAATTCGAAGCATGCAGCGCAATGCAAAGCAGAGCAATGCAAATTCATGCACAGCATTGCAGAGCAATGCAACACGATGCATCGCAATGCAGAGCAATGCAATGCGATGCAATGCGATTGCAATTCAGTGTGACTGCAATGGAATCCAATGCATTGCGATGCAATGCGATAGCAAAGCAATTCAACGCGAATGCAAATCAATGCGATTGCAATGCAGTGGGTTGTGATGGACGGCGGCGACTCTCGGCGACCGCGACAACACGCGCGGCGACCAGCACCCGAGCACAGAAGGAGTGGCGACGGACAGCGGTCAAGGGCGGCGACGGCGACAACAAGCCGGCCGGACGGATACCCAGGTCTAGTTCTTTTGAGACCGAGTAAGTCATAACCCCTAAGTGCAAGCACTGTTAGGGGAGCAATCCTAATCGCGTGGGGCCGAAACTGAATTGAAACCCGCTAGGCTTCAAACTGAGACCCCTATACCCCGATCCTTATCCCGATCCCCCATCGTGGCCCTCATCGTTGCCCCCCCCACCGTGACCCCCCATCGTGGCCCCCCCATCGTAGCTATGTGAAAAGCTGTTCAGGGGCTTTTGCTTCAAGGGTGTCACAGCACACGATGCAGTCCAGAAGTTTGCTGAGTTTAGCGAGCTTTGAAGCCCTCGCAGACGCCTCCGCTGCAACTGCTGCGACGCCCGTGTGGGCGCTGGTGCGCGCTGGCGGACTGGTGCTGCTGCTGCTGCTTCCGTCCCGGCCCCGCCCCCCGAGGCCGTGCAGCCCGAGCCCGTCCAGGCCAGCCGTGCCTCTTGCCTGGCGCCTGCCGCCGCTGCTTCCGCGCCCTGCTGCGGCTCTCCCCTGCACGGCTGCCCTCAGGACGGTGGGGCCTCCTCTCCCATGCGGAAGGCAGGAGGGGAAAATGATACATGCACAAATGAACGTCGATTTCGGATAACATATTGGAAGCATGCATTGGAGATGGTTGGGAAGACGGAAGTTCAACAAATACAGACACACATATATTTACATACATATATATATATGAGAGAGAGAGAGAGAGAGAGAGAGAGAGAGAGAGAGAGAGAGAGAAAAAAAAAAGAAAGAGATAGAGCGTGATCCACCGCCGCTTTACTATGGCAAAGTTTCCCCTTCCTTCAGAACCTGGCGCACCCCCTCCCTCCGAAAGTCCCAAGTCCCCCCCCCCCTGCTCGACCCCCTTTCCCTTCCCCTGGCAAACCCCCCCACTCCCCCTAATTCCCCCGCCCCCCCCCCCCCCCCCCCCCCCCTTCCTTCCCTCCAGCAAACCAGGGGGGGGTCACTACTGGTTCGAACCCCCCACACCCCTCCAGAAAACGGAGCGGGGGGTCACTACTGGTTCGAACCCCGCCCCCCACCCCCACTCGCCGCCGGCAAACAACTCCCAGATCCCCACCACCGTCCTCACCACCGCCCTCACCACTTTTCGCATCACCACCGTCCCCAGTGGTCCCACTGTCCCCACTGTTCCCACCACTGTTCCCGGTCCCCACCAGTGCCCCCACTTTCGCACTGTCCCCACTGTCCCCACCACTGTCCCCACTACGGTCCCACTCTCCCCAGTGTCGCCACTGTCCCCACCACTGTCCAACTGCCCCCACTGTCCCCACCGCTGTCCCACTGTCCCCACTGTCCCCACCACTGTCCTGCTGAGCTGTCCCACTGTTCCCACCACTGTCCCACTGTCCCACACCACTGTCCCCACGGTACCACTGTCCCACTGTCCCACCACCGTCCTCACCACCGCCCTCACCACTGTCCCCACCACCACCGTCTCCACCACTGTCCCACTGTCCCCGCTGTCCCCACCACTGTCCCACTGTCCCCACACCACTGTCCCCACCACCAGCGTCCCCACCACTGTCCCACTGTCTCCACTACTGTCCCCACCACTGTCCCACTGTCCCCACACCACTGTCACTTCCACGACCGTTCCCACCACTATCCCACTGTCCCCACCACTGTCCCACTGTCCCCACACCACTGTCCCCACCACTCCCCACCACTGTCCCACTGTCCCCACGCCACCGTCCCCACCACCACCGTCCCCACCACTGTCCCACTGTCCCCACCACTGTCCCCACCACGGTCCCACTCTCCCCACTGTCCCCACCACCGTCCCACTGTCCCCACCACTATCCCACTGTCCCCACCGCTGTCCCACTGTGCTGCCCCACTATCCCCACTGTCCTCACCACTGTCCCACTGTCCCCAACCGTTCCCAGTCCCACTGGGCTGTCCCGCTATCCCCACTGTCCCCACCACTGTCCCACTGTCCCCACTGTTCCCACCACTCTCCCCACTGCCTCTACTCCGTACTGTCCCGAGGGGGGGGGGAGGAAGGGGTTTGAACTGGTAGTGACCCCCCCTCCTTTTCATGATGGACCGGGGGTGGGGGTGGGGGGGTTCGAACCGGTAGTGACCCCCCTGGTTTTCGAGGGGGTTGGGACGGGTTGGAACACCCCCAGATTTCTGCCAGCAGCGGCAGAACACGCTCTTTCACACACACATATATGTATACAGATACAAGATTTGAAGGCTCGCTTCGCTTCGCGTCAATCTTGGTCCACATTGTGGAGCGGGTTTCTGCAAGGTGGGCGAACCTGGGAGAAGGAGAGAGCGAGAGACAGCGTGAGAGAGAGGGAGGAGGATTTCCGAAAGAGAGAGAGAGAGAGAGAGAGACAGAGAGAGCATGTTGCTTGAATGTCGTGGTTTGTTGATCGGCGCACGAGATGAGGGCGATCGAAGGGGGGGAATTGATGTTATCGCAGCAGCTAGCATGTCAACGATGCCGCAGAACACTCTAGCATGTGCAAGATGCGCACGCGCGCGCGCGCGAACGACTGCGCGTGTTGGTTGGTGCGCGAGGGGTCGGACGTGCCTGGGGGATGTTCGACGCCGCGCCTGCCGGCGCGGCGTGGCGATCCGTGGCGAGTTCTGTCCTACTTGCATGCGGACGCAGGCCAGGATAGTCTTTCGCCTCCAGGATGGGCCCAAGATAGAAGAGCTCCAAAGGGGCCTCAAGATTACCCGAGACAGCCCCGGACGGGCCCAAGAGCAGCCCTCGTTGCCACGGCTTGATTCGCCTCGAAAGTCTGGTCAGCACGCACCCCGGGAGAGATCTGGGGAGTAGCGGTGTCGATACCTCTTGGCCTCCCCACGTTCGGAGTGCAACCAGGGCTGAGATGGACGACCAGATGATGGTGCTTGTGCTCCAGAGCCTGTGCGATGAGAAACCCCACGGGCGTGCGCGTGGAGCGCTGGCACGGTCTTCGGCGTGCCACCGCGTGGCTGTGGTGCGCGACCAGCTGCTCCTGCTTCAGAGCCCCGTGCGATGAGAAACAGGCCCCGTGCCTTGGCATCGCTCGGACGTGTGCATTGTTCCCTCGGCGAGGACCATCGAGGAGCATCCTGGATCATTTGGCGAAGCAATCACGCACGAAACTGAAAGAAACACAGGGAATGGACCTCCGAGCGATGGCGAGCGTGCGTGCGCGCGCGGAGCGGTGCCGGCGCCTGCCTCGCCCTGGCCCCCGCCCTCCGAGGCCGCCCGGGCCGAGCCCCGGCGGGCCGCGAGAGCCCCGCGCGCCCACGGCCGCGGGCGGCCCGCCCCGCGCGCGCATGGCCGGCGGCTCCGAGGCCCACGCCTGGGACGCGTTCTTCGACGCCCGGCCCGCCGCCGCGGACGAGGCGCCCGAGGACGAGGCCGAGTGCCGCGCGCCACCGCCCGCCGCCGTGCGCCGCCGCCGTGCGCCGCCGCCGCTCGTCGTCGGCGTCGTCCGTGGAGCGTGGTCCGTGGTGCGTCGTCCGCCGTCCGTCGTCGCCGTCGTCGCGGTCACCGTCGCCGCCGTTCGGCGGCGTCGTCTGGCGTTCGTGGCTCTTCGTTCGCCGTTCGTCGCCCGGCGTCCGTCGTCCGCCGTCGTCTTCGCCGTCGCCGTCGTCCGTCGTCTGTCGCTCATCGTCCGTCTTCTGTCGTCGCCGCCCGTCGATTACCGTCCGTCGGACGAGGCCGACCAGCTGCGTGGGGGCGATCTGGCGCCTTCCAGCCCAGGCGCCCGCCGCGGCGCCGACCCCGCCGGTCCGCCTGATGACGAGCGGATCTCCCACAGCTTGGGGAGGATGCCCTGGGACGCCAACTGCCAGCGGCGCCCAGGGGGGAGGTTCGGCGTTTTATGAGGTTTTTTCGTTGGTTCGCGGTGGTTTTCCAGCCTCGGGGTGCCAGTGCAGCATCGTCTACTGTTTACCGGAGCCCCATCCCCACGGGGCCATGGTATCTCGGCCCCGCCAGCCCGCCTTCCCAGATGGGGGTGATGAGGCCCCGCGAGGCCCGAGCTCAGCGTGGAGTTCTTGACTCGGCGCTGGGTCTCCCTGGCGGCGCCTCCAGCGCCGCCCCTGGCGCGCTCCGCGCGGCAGGGAGGGGTTCAGCACAGATCCAAGGAATCTGCGCGGACTTCCGACAATTGATTCATGCCGTTTTTTCTTCCTCTAATCGGCGGCGCGCGTGGGGGGGGAGTGAGAGGGGGTAGGCATTCTCGGAAGACCATCGGCCTTCTCCTAAAGCCCCCCGGGCTGGGGTTTCGAGCAGGTGAGGTCGGGCAGTCGCGCCGCATCGCCGATGTATCGGCGATGCGGCTCGATGTGGAGCCCGATTTTCTTCGCGCCGACGTCGCCGATGCATCGCCGAAACAACGAAGATGCGGCGCCATCCCCTGGTCCCATCATCTAATGTAGCCACCCAGATTCAAGGGCCAATCTGACCGCGTTGCGCTGGCGTTCGTAGCACTTTTCGGCTTGTCTGGCGGCCAGCCACGAATGCGCGCAGACCAGTCCCAGGCCCTTGGAGAAGCCCAGTCAGGCTCGATTGGCAGTATCTTGCTGGCGCCCTCCTAGGATACTGCGGTACCACGTCGCCGACTACGGGCTGAAGGTGGACCCAGACGGCTTCGTCCAGGTGAACGGCAGGGGAAGATCGTGTCGCTTGCGCGGACGTGCTCGCGCGCACCGCCGGCGTGAGGTCGCGCGCAGCCTCCTCGGGGAGTGTCGCTTGGGGGCGACCCTGAGGGGTTGCGCGGCGGGGCGAGGAGGCGGGGGGGAGGCGGCCCTCGAAGACGGGGGCAGGGTGTCTCCCGCAGGGGATGGGGGGCTTTGCGGGCAAACGCTTGCTCACTGGAGGCAACCACTCAGCTCTGAAGGCACAGGATTTTGGCACACATGTTTGCTCACTGGAGGCAACTCGTTGCGGAAGGCTTTTCTTTTCAGCCAAGGTGCCTTGCTCATTGAAGGTATGTGAGCGGGAAAAAACACACATGTCCAGTTGCGCTGACATTCGCGCGTAAGCTGCTCGCGTACCGTACAGTCGCGCGTAAGCGCCCTCGTTTCCAATGTGGCGTGCCGCGCTGGTGACCTGCGTAAGCCGTGGCGTCAGGTCGCAATGCCATCTCGCGTAAGACCCATTTTTGATCGTCGATCAGTTGTTTGAAAACATGTCCTTCTGCAGATGTGAAAGGCAGAACGCGGCCTTCAGCAAATCTATGCCTTCAGTGATCTGTCTGCCTTCCGCAGCGACTTGTGCGCTCCCAGGCTTCTCTCGGCAGGCGGGGGGGGGGCTGCTTGCCCTCCCCTGCGCCCCCTTGTGCGCGCCGCCGAGGTAAGACCCCTCTTGCTTCTTTTTGGCCAGGTCTCGAACTGACCGGTGTTTTGGCGATTTTGCGGGCAGTTGTATGCTTTGATCTCGTTTGGCAGCAAGGGCGGTCTGACGACAGCACGAGGGAAAACGAACATGAAACGAACAGCGACCGTTTGGGCATGGGGGAACAGACAGCTTGCGGTAACAACCGTTTTGGCCTAGGAGCAAACGGGCAACATCTGAAAACAACGAGCAACAGCAGCACCAAACACAACGAAATGGAAACCAAAAGCAACAAAAGGAACAGGAACATGCACATCCCTCTTTCCGTCGCCGACCAGGTGACCGATCTCCTGGCCAGCTGCCTGGAGTTCGAGGGCGCCTCGGAGGGCTGCTTGCGCCGCGTGGCGGAGACCAGCACGGGCACGCGGGGGCGGCGGTTCGAGGTCCGCGAGGACGCCGAGGGGGGCTCGATGGTCCGCGCGACGTACAAGCACCCCAAGGAGGGTCCCCGAGGTCAGCGGCAACGTTAAGGGGGGGGGATCGGCTGAGGGGGGGATGCATCGACTCACGGTCGTCCACTCGTCGCCGGTGGGGGCCCGATAGCCCCAGCCCGCCCAGGACCCCGCGAATCCGATCACCGATCTATCCGCGACGTACGATCGGACCGAGGTGTACGATCGAGGTCGGTTCGGGGAGGGTGCCCTGATGGTCTTCGTGTTTGTTGGGTGTTCTTGTGCATCTTGGAGGAGGGTACCCTCGAGTGATCTTATCATCGTTTGGGGCGCGCTGGCCAGCGGAGGGTCTCGTGCTCTTGAACAATTGATGCTTTTCTGTCTTGGGGCCGACCGTATCGCCGATTCCAGGTCGAGGTGTTCCCCCCCTCCTGAGCCGGTGTCCCCCCTGGCGTTGCCTCTCGCGAGGCAGGGGCGGGCCGCGCCGAGACCCGCACGAGCCCTCGAGGAGACGGGGGGGGGGGGGCAATCGGTCCTCGCTCCTCGTCGGCCTCGGCCCTCGGCCCTCGGCCCTCGTGCCTCGGCCCTCGGTTCCTCGGTCCTCGGGCCCCTGTCCTCGTGTGGCGCCCTTTCGCCCGCCCCTCGGTCCTCGTGCCTTTGGCTCCTCATCGGCCTGCGCGGGCCCCTCGCCGCCGCGGCTGGGCGCAGCTGGGCCAGCCGGCAGGTGGCGGGCTTCGTGGGCGCCGCGCGCCAGAGCGTGAGGGTGGCGTCGCGGCAGACGTCGCGCGCGGCGTGAAGCGCGAAGTCGGGCGACCGTGCGACTCAGATCCATTGGGAAGGCTTGCGGCCGGTGCCGCCGACCCTGAAGGGGGACGGCGGCGGCGACGGCGGGGGGGAGGGGGGGGGGGGGCGGGGGGAGGCGGGGGGGAGGGGGGGAGGCCCGGGAGAGGGGCGGGGGGAGACGGGGGGAGGCGGGGGGAGGCGGGGGGAGGCAGGGAGAGGAAGGGAGAGGAAGGGGGAGTTGGGGGAGGCAGGCGGCGGCGGGGGGAGGCGGCGTCAAGCGGGGAAAGGCGGGGGAAGGCGGCGGTGGAGTCTTGAGTCCCCTGTACAAATGGGAGCCACCCCCAAGGCCTCCTTCTCCACAGGGGGGACCCCTCCGGGAGGAGGTCGCTACCCCCGGGACCTCCCCCCAGGACCCACCCACCCCGGCCCCCCCTCCAGGATCCCCCATGGGACCCTCCCCTGACGCACACGCCCCTCCGCAGCGAAGGGATCAAATGGAAGGGGCTCCCTTTCGAATCAATCGCTGGAGGACATTTGATCTCCGTTTCGCTGGCTCGCTGGAGGAGGAGGGCCCAGGGCCAGGGGGGAGCGGCGACGGCGACCGCGACGATTCAAACAGAAAGACGTCTCACACACGCCGACAGGACTGGCGGATTTGAACCAGCACCAGTCTCTGCCAGGCCCACCCTGGCTCAAGGGAGGGCCAGTTGCACATCGGCGTCCTCATCTTCCTTCCCTCCCTCTCCCTCCTCTTCTTCCCCCTGCTCAGTCGCCGATGTCTTAACCAGCCATCTTCCGAGATACCCCTTTCTGGCCAAGCGAAGGATTCTTGGCGCAGGATGGGCCTGGCCAGGATCGGTGTTGCTGCTGGTATGTATGTGTGTGTGTGTGTGTATGTGTGTAAGTGTGTGTGTGTGTGTGTAAGTGTATGTGTGTAAGTGTGTGTGTGTGTGTGTGTGTAAGTGTATGTGTAAGTGTAAGTGTAAGTGTAAGTGTAAGTGTAAGTGTACGTGTAAGTGTAATTGTAAGTGTAAGTGTAATTGTAAGTGTAATTGTAAGTGTAAGTGTGTGTGTGTGTAAGTGTGTGTGTGTGTGTGTGTAAGTGTGTGTGTGTGTGTAAGTGTGTGTGTGTGTGTGTGTGTGTGTGTGTGTGTGTGTGTAAGTGTGTGTGTGTGTGTGTGTGTGGTTGGCGTCCCCCCACTAGGAGGGGCGACGGCTTCCGGAGGAGAGGGCCGCGCATGGGCTTCTCCCAGGGCGCGCCGTACGACGACCGCGGGGACTCCGCGGAGGCTGGGGGTCAGGAAACCCCACCGACGCCCAAAAGGATTGGGCGAACTTGGTGCGGCCAGAGTGCGGCCGTCCGCCCTCGTCGTAGGGACGCCGAGCATCCCTATCCTGGGCCCAGGATTTGCCTGTGCAGGACCGTGGCGCGTCCGACGGTCCTGGGCCCAAGACGGGCCCAGCCAGGACTGGTGCATCTGGACAGCTAGCTGACGTCCTCCCGCCTCGGGGAGGGCCTCGCCCGAACTGTGCGCTTGGAAGAGAGCGCCCACACCCAGCAGTCCAACAACGGACTGACACGCGCCTCACGTCGGTTGTGCCCAGATGTTCCACGCCGGCCCACCAGGGGAAGGGGTTCGGACCCCATGCCGCTCCAGCCAAGCGACCTGTCCCTTGACCAGGGAG